AACGACCGAATGGGACCTTCGAGTCAATGGGAATTCGAATAGCCTCCAAACCGCCTCCATTGAACTCCTATACCTACAATCCAGGTAGTTGCGGATTTCGTTCCATTCCGCAACGCGACTTCTCCCATGCACTTTAATGGTGACGCTATCAACACCTTTGTGCACGCATTTAAAAAGGTACTTCATGGAGGATAGAGACCCGCACACATCAAAGTTAATATGACACCTGTACTTGAGGGTGGCGTATCGGTTGTAAGGCATGATTCGACTGTTTTGTTTGGATTCGACTGTTGTTTTTAAGTCGCACCTGGATTGTCTCTGCCGCAGATACAATGAATTTGATTGTCGGAGACGACTGCGTATAATGATGCCGAAAAGTTGTTTATCTACGAGGTCACTCTCACCACTAAATCCGGTCGGTTTTGCCACTTTTGTTTGTAATCCAGATTGAGACGAATCTCGTCCCAATGTGGATTACATGTAAAAGTGATAAAAAGGTCCAGTTTACCGCACCTTGCAACTACGGTCATGGCGTCCAAATACAGCCGGTTTTGACTGCGAACCGGACCGGAATAGGAGGAAGGTAGAATAATTATCTTTCCCACTCGACAGTTCCCCTCTTGGGCTCGGCGAGGGATCATACTTAAAATGGACGCGTACGAGGCCGATCTCTGATATTGTTGGTGTGTCTCGTAAAACCAAAGCTGATTGGCTTCGATTTTAAGAAACACATCAACAATATACTGTTGGAAGAGTTCTCTTGCGTTATGTATAATCGAAAAGTGGTCTTGACACATCATCCTGAACCGATAAAACTCACTGAAAGTAATCGTCTTGCGAGGATTACTCAATCGCGGCATGCCAGTGTTGTATCCCCTGTCGCCGTACAGAAACAGTAAAGGATAAACCATGGGATCCGCGAAACAGTTGAGATTTTTGATTTCATTTTGATGCGCTACGCCAGTAGTTCCCAAACTTATTTTTCTCGTGGGCCACTTTCAAAATTTTACTGGTTTCGGTGGACCCCCTGCTGCTACATTTCTACCACATTCTTAAAGTCGCCAAAAAATAATAATTGTGTCACTTCTGAGTTCTGTCCCTATATTCCGATATGTAAAATAAAAACGAAAAATGGTACATTTTATATCACTTTATTTATTAAAAGAATAGAATTACAAGAAAAAATATTAAGGTAATATAGGTTCAGGTCATAATTTTAATTAATGGGAAGGATGTATCTGATGGAGTGTCAGCAAACGATCAATGTTTGGCTTTATTTTTGTGAGCAATAACCGCAAATCCCCCGCTCTGTGATGTTTAATTTGCTCTTTTTTTTTTGTTAAGAGGTTTGTAACGGCACTAAAACTCCTTTCGACAAGGTATGACGAGGGAAAAGCTATTAAAAATTCCTTGCGATTTCCCACAGTCCAGGATATTTTTCGGGTATTTCTGCTTGCAGCCAAAATGTTGGGTAGCCTTTTCTAAATTTCACCTTCAGCTCCTCATTAGTGCTTAGCTCGAGCAGCTCCTCTTGTAATACAACATTGGCCACTTCCGTTTCATCAAATGGATTTATGATCCATGGTGGTATATCCATCGTCAGTATATCTTCAAACCTGGTTTTGAAGTCATCATGCAGAGCACTTAAATGTTGACTGTAGGTATGGATATCCTCATCAATACATTCTACCTGCGACAAGTTCATTGTTAAAACGTGACAAACTGGCATCGAAGTCCAAGCCCCGCCCTTTTCCCGTCGCCCGCGCACCGCTCGCTCTTTCCGAAAAGGAATAGTTTTGATAAAATAGTTACTTCAAAACCAATTTAAAATGATTATGAAATTACTGTTTTATAAAATTAGTAGTTATTTGCAAGAAAAATTACAAAATTAATTGCTCTGCAATATTGCTTATTCGGCCTTTTTAGAGAGGCAGTGTTTCTCTCGTGAAAAAACAATTGAATAAAACGTGCTGTGTTTGTCTTCAAATCGAAAGAGGACAATTAAAATATCTGTAAGTTACTAAGTTACCTATCTATACAGGCCGTTGTGATCAACCGACTAGTACACGTAAACAAAATACTTAAGTACTATAACAAAAAAAGGTAGGTTACTTACTTTTCTCCGGCACTAGCAAACACAGATATAAATTTTCTCACAACTTTTTTTTCCAAATTCCGCCTTTTTTCGAAATTCCGGAAACAAATGAATGCGTTTGCCTTTGGCATCAAGTATTTATAGTGGTGATCAAGTTCATGTCTGAACAAGCATTAAGCATTGTCGGGCGGATAGCGCTTTGCAAGTCTGTACACGAAATTGTACGTAATATCGAATACGCAAGTTTGGACAAGTAACAGTCGCTTGCCTTATTAAAATATTATCTGCTTAGATAGGTACTTAAAACAATGTAGGTAGGCCCTTATAAAAACTATGCTTACATTTTTGCTCTTTACTATCAAAAGCAGATAAATTTTCGTGGACCCCCATTAACATCTTATGGACCCCCATTTTTTGTTCACGCCTACGTAGACCCCCAGCAAGTCTCCCGTGGACCCCTGGGGGTCCACCTGGACCACTTTGGGAATCACTGCGCTACGCCATCGCGACGAGGATAGATCTTCAGATTAACCTCTCTAGGTACCTCACCCGTGAAGACAGCTGCGATTTCGGAACGACTTTCAGGTAAAGCGTACTGTCGACGCACTTCATTAATATTGTCCCGAAATTCAATTACTAAATTATCTAACGGCTCATTTCCTTGTGACATTGTCGCAATCACCTCTCCCATTGTTACGTAAGCCCGGATTAGCTCGTTGTCTTTACGCAGCATGATTTCGACGTTCCTAATAACGTCGTCTGGCACGCGGTTGTCAGTAAACTGGCAACGACGTTCAATTGCTTCGGCAGAATCGATAAAATAATATTGATTGTGTCGCAGCAATCGATCGGCCGTGATTTCACCGATAGGAATATCGTTGGCGTGATGATAAACCTGGCTGCGACAGTAAAACACCAGTGAGCTTGCTCACCGAGTGGATTAGCCGTATACGGGACAGATGTTTTAAAAGAGGCCATGGCGAAAAGCGAATTCGCAAGACGGATATTCTCACGAAACTGTAAATAACCCTCCTGGATAAGAAGGTTTTTCAAATATGCCGGACAACGATTTAGAATTGGAACGCGTATATTTCCCTTGTCGCAACAGTTACGCGGGATTGAAAGGTCCCATGGGACTCTTCAATTCGCGCGAGAAAAATCGACTGCTGCAAAACGGACATATATGTGTAAAAGTTCCGCATCGATCCATTTGAATAACCTCCTCTGCTTGTTCTTGATTTCCCACGGTATAAGCGATATCGTAGGTGCGTTTTGTAGGTATTAAGGCGTGACGTCGCGCAGCATGATTTACAACAGTTTGAATAGCTTGTCACCCTTCAACTACATTGTCAGTATTTGGTCGATTAGGGTTATTGTTGATAATATTGTTTATATGGGCCAAGTTCAACCTATCCAATTGGACGATTAGATTTGGTTGAACTTGGCCACCAGGGGGCAAACCTACATTGCGCTCCTCGTCTACATTGCGTCCGTTTCCAACATTTTCTTCGTTTCCGTTTTCAACCTAAAATATATAAAAACAATATAATATACGTAAATACACGATTTATTATACCACTTCTTTTTCTAAATTTAAATAACGAAATGATGACAATATAGTAAAGTACAAATAGATAATTGAATTTATTGCTCATCATCACTATACCTCAAAAAAATTAAAACAGATGAAATTTCGATGATGGCTTTACTCACAATACACATTATAGGTAAATGATCGCTCGTTCCGCAGTCCTGGATCACCTCAAATTTTGCTTTAGTGCTTAATTCTGCCGAACAAATTATTAAGTCTGGAACACTCTTTCTTGTTAAGGGTGATGTAACTGGTTGTTTCTTCTCCATTATTAAGGATGACCATACCACTTAGATCTAAAAACTCTAATATCTGCTCCCCCTTTATATTATTAAAGCCTGATCCCCATGATAGATTCTGACCATTGAAATCTCCGAGGATGATGATAGGTTTTGAGTAGGTATTTTCAATTCTGGAAGTTACTCTGTATAAGGCTGCTGCATTTATTTCTAGATCTGGTGGAACATATACACTAATTATACAATAATCTTTTAGCTCTAAGGCTATATATTGAAATCTATCTGAAGGATGTCCAATATTTATATTTATTACGTTTCCAGGTTGCGATCTAGGTATTAGAATGGCAACTCCACCATATCCGTCTTGTCGATCATTTTTTATTACGTTGTACCCTACTACATTTACTATTTGTTCTTTTTTCAGCCATGTTTCATTTAAGCAAACAATATCTGGTTTGTAGTCTCTCAAAAGATTAATTAGTGTATCCTTGTTACTGTTGTAGCTGTGTATATTCCAATGTATAATCTTTATGTTCATTTCTTATACTCCTTAGTTGTTTTTAGTTATTTGCTGTTCTTTTTATTATTTTTTAATTAATTTTTTTTAATTTCCTTTTCTTCTTTTTTCTTTTTTTTTTAATCTGTTCTTATACTTTCTATTCTTGTTTCTTTCTTCTTTTTTAGCACTGTCTTAAAAACTGTCTCGAAATCTTTTTTTTATTTCATCCACATTTGTTGCTGTTTCCTCTACCCTATTATCCATTTCTATATCTGAAGACTGTTCCTGTCTAAGTTCCTCTGTTTCTGTTTGAAATACCTCTATGTCCTGTGATGAATAATTTTGGAATTGTGGTAATGGCTCTACTACAACTCTACCTGTTGTTGGAAAGATAATTTTTTTTACATTTTCTCTCTCTTTGCTTGATATATTTGAATAACTTGGATAACTCTTCCTTTTCCGTTGAGTTATGAGCCTTGTCGGAGAATTCAGACTTGTGATACTTCTGCTACAGCTAGGATCTATTTTCTGTTGTGATATGCTTGCTTTTTGAGAAAATAATACTGGAAATTCTTCCTAATTAGTTCTATAGCCAGGCGTTCTTTTGTTTTTCTGTTTATCTGATGGGCATATCTGCCCTGCTTCATAGGCTGACAGATTCTGCTCTGCTATTAACGTGTTGATATTCTTTTGTCTCTTATGCTCTTTACAATCCCATGACGTCGCTGAATGGCCCTCTCCACAATGATAATAGCACTTGTAGTTTTCCTCACAGTCTTTTGCCATGTGCCCTTCTCCACATTTATAACATCTTGTTTTACTTCGACATTGGTTCTTTGAGTGTCCATATCCTAAGCAATTGTAGCACTGTATAACCGGCCTTACGTAAGTGTATACTGGGTAATTCACTCCAAATAATTTAATTTCTTTTGGTAAGGTTTTACCCTCAAATGTCAACACTACTGTAAATGATGATTTGTAAATTATCTTGCCTCCTTCTCTGAATTTTCGATCTAATCTTTTGGCCTCAATGATTTCTTTATTACTATAACTTTCTTGTACGATGTCTTCTTCCAAAATTAATTGTCCCACGTCTCTTATAATGCCTTTCGTTGATAACAATCTTTGGGGAATATATGCTATCAAAGATTTCTGTTGTAATTTATCATTAATAAGTAAATTATTAGCTTGCTGATATGTATTAAACTCGACTCCTACCTTATTGAATCCCTTTTTAGTAATATTCGTTATACCTTCAACTTTTATTTGATATAATATCTTCGACAAATCCGAATAGTGTAACCCTGCTACATTTTTCTCTGTCGATTCAATGATAATTGTGTATGGCCCTATATCATTCTTTGAATATTCTACTCTCCTTAGACGTGCTGCCCATGCCTTTCTTCCCAAATCTATTAACGTCTCTCGCTCCTCTGGTGGAATATTATTTTCACATTGTAGCAACTCTCGTATTTCTTTTATTGCTTCTTGAACTTCTTGGACGACATGGTAACTTAGCCTAACCTAGCCTATAGTTAACCTAGCCTTTAACTAAAAGCAAAGCAGCCCTACTGGCGTTAAATAATCTATCACTACTATTCTCTGTATTTTTCTGGGACTTACCCCCCTTAGCTCTATCACAATAATTAACGCTCAAAAAACAAATCGGCGAAGAGTCCGGTAAGACGATGTGACCACCCTCGAATCTGAACGAATACAATATTCTCCAGTCAAAACTTGAATATTTCAAATTGTCTATACGGAATTCAAAAAATCTTGAAGAAATTCGCTCGAAAATTTCTGACACCCAACTTTTTCACGATGTATTTTCAAAAAAAAAATAATTTCTAATGACATTTATTGTCATTTATCTATAGGGTGTTTCAAAAGTTCTTTTTCTTGTCAGGAGATTTTTTAAATATTTTTCGTTTTTTAATAAGTCTCTTTTGTTATATCCCGACATGTCTGAGATTATTAAACACGATTATGAAAAAACAATGTTGAAATTCCCTCATTTTCTACTCTAAAAATCGATTTAAAAATTTGAAGTTTTCAATGTCATTTTATGCATTCATCTATGGGGTGTTTCAAAAGTTGTTTGTGTTTGTCGTGAAATTTCTAAAATATATTTTTTCCTTTTTAATAAGTCTCTTTTGTATCCCGACATGTCTGAGATTACTAAACACGATTATGAAGAAACAATGTTGAAATTCCCTCATTTTCTACTCTAAAAATCGATTTAAAAATTTGAAGTTTTGAATGTCATTTTATGCATTCATCTATGGGGTGTTTCAAAAGTTGTTTGTGTTTGTCGTGAAATTTTTAAAATATTTTTTCCTTTTTAATAAGTCTCTTATGTTATATCTCGACATGTTTGAAATTATTAAACACGATTATGAAGAAACAATGTTAAAATTCCTTTATTTTCTACTCTAAAAATCGATTTAAGAATTTGAAGTTTTGAATGTCATTTTATGCATTCATCTATGGGGTGTTTCAAAAGTTGTTTGTGTTTGTCGTGAAATTTTTAAAATATTTTTTCCTTTTTAATAAGTCTCTTATGTTATATCTCGACATGTTTGAAATTATTAAACACGATTATGAAGAAACAATGTTAAAATTCCTTTATTTTCTACTCTAAAAATCGATTTAAGAATTTGAAGTTTTGAATGTCATTTTATGCATTCATCTATGGGGTGTTTCAAAAGTTGTTTGTGTTTGTCGTGAAATTTTTAAAATATTTTTTCCTTTTAATAAGTCTCTTATGTTATATCTCGACATGTTTGAAATTATTAAACACGATTATGAAGAAACAATGTTAAAATTCCTTTATTTTCTACTCTAAAAATCGATTTAAGAATTTGAAGTTTTGAATGTCATTTTATGCATTCATCTATGGGGTGTTTCAAAAGTTGTTTGTGTTTGTCGTGAAATTTTTAAAATATTTTTTCCTTTTTAATAAGTCTCTTATGTTATATCTCGACATGTCTGAGACTATTAAACACCATTATGAAGAAACAATGTTAAAATTCCCTCATTTTCAACTCTAAAATTCGATTTAAAAATTTGAAGTTTTCAATGTCATTTTTTGCATTCATCTATGGGGTGTTTCAAAAGTTGTTTGTGTTTGTCGTGAAATTTCTAAAATATTTTTTCCTTTTTAATAAGTGTCTTATGTTATATCTCGACATGTTTTCAACGACGTCAAAATCTAATCGTTTAGCTACAATAATACTCCGTGTGGTGAACAACCCTGTATATGGAAATAAAATAATCTGATACTTACACCAGTAGCCCGACCCCTCTCTCTCAAAATTTCCTCTAGTCCGAGTTCCCCTAAAAAATATTAAAAACTAATTAGTAAATTTACTATTATTGTTTTGTTTAATTGCTACCGGCACATAGTCCTGCAAAAAAGAGCATTAGTTACATAATTATTGATATATTATTTTTAAATTATGAACTTGACGAGGTAAATTATGAAATAATGCTGTTAATAGACGATTAAACCTATTATTTAATGAAAATTTGTTATACCATTCAGAGAACAATTAAAATTTTAATAATATATCAAATCGTAAACAAAGTTAAAGGAATAAACGATGACTTGATATATAGTTATTAATAATAACAAATTACAAAACTTAAATAATAATTTTTATATAGCATTAGTTTACTATATAAATATTATTACTAATATTAGGTAAAATAATAATCATTTGACACTTACCATATCCATCCTCTCAACACGTACTATTAAAATGTTGCCCCTATTTTCCAAATTACTTATGTTTTCCTATAAAAAAATGAAATTTATTAAGTAACACTATAAATATATTGTTTAGTGGCGTTAATTCATTTTTACAAATTTACTTACCAATTTTAATTCCCAATTTTATCAGTCAATCATCAAAATTTATCATCAATTTCCGCAACGGTTCATTTTTCATTGACGTTTCAATCTAAAAGATAATATTCTAATTAATATTTACAGAAATAAATATATATGTAAATTTATTTCTCTTAAATGTTTTACGACTTATTAATCTCTAATCAGTATAAAATTATATACTCTAAATATTTTTTTAAGTATACACTACAGATTTTTTAAGTATACACTACAGATTTTTTAAGTATACACTACAGATTTTTTAAGTATACACTACACTACAACAAAGAAAATATAATTATTAAAATTTACTTACCAAATTTTAATTCCCAATTTTATCAGTCAATCATCAAAATTTATCATCAATTTCCGCAACGGTGCATTTTTCAATCAGGTTTCAATCTAACAGATAATATTCTAATTAATATTTACAGAAATAAATATATACGTAAATTTATTTCTCTTAAATGTTTTACGACTTATTAATCTCTAATCAGTATAAAATTATATACTCTAAATAGATTTTTTTAAGTATACACTACAGTTTTACGTTTATTAATTAATTTCCTTCTATAGAGTTGAATTAGAGTTGAATTTTTGAAAATAACATTTTTACAATTTCATATAATCTTTTTAAAAAATAGAATAATTGATGATTTATAAAAATGATATATTCAAAGTTATGTTCAGCAGTCATTAACGAATATAAAATAGCTTTATTGGGAATTTTGTTATTACCAGTTACAAAAAAATTGCCACATATTTCCTTCTATATACGCATGTCTAACACAGTTCTAGGACGGTTCAGAATCAGTAATAAGAAAAACCCAAAATAGCTTAATATTAATTAAAAAACTAAAAAATTAGAATAAAAATTAATTTGTTTTAGTACATACCTTGACAGCAAATAAATAATATCAACAGCAACATGGTAACTATAGTTCTCGCTCCCATTATTTCTAACGTTCCCCTAAAAAATATTAAAAACTAATTAGTAAATTTAGTATTACTTTATTAAATTTACTATTGTATAATATATATATATATATATATATATATATATATATATATATATATATATATATATATATATATATATATATATATATATATATATATATATATATTATAAATATACTAAATTATTGTTTTGTTTAATTGCCACCGGCACATAGTCCTGCAAAAAAGAGCATTAGTTACATAATTATTGATATATTGTTTTTAAATTATGAACTTGACGAGGTAAATAATGAAATAATGCTGGTAACGGACGATTAAACCTATTATTTAATGAAAATTTGTTATACCATTCAGAGAACAATTAAAATTTTAATAATATATCAAATCGTAAACAAAGTTAAAGGAATAAACGATGAATTGATATATAGTTATTAATAATATCAAATTACAAAACTTAAATAATAATTTTTATACAGCATTAGTTTACTATATAAATATTATTACTAATATTAGATAAAATAATAATCATTTGACACCCCGTTCAACCCGTACCTCTAAAATTTTGCCGCCCCTGTTTTCCAAATTATTCATATTTTCCTTTAAAAAAATTGAAATTTATATAGTAACACTAAATGAAAGTAACACTAAATGGAAGAAAATTTTAACTAAACTAAATGAAATAGAAGGGAAACTAGAAACTAAACCACAAAAAATGTTGTCATACGCTGATGCCCTGACCAATAGCACTATTAAAACTGAAGAAAATAAGAATATTTGTCATGAAAGAACATTGGTAATTAAATCAAAAAAATCACAAACAAAAGAAGCTACAATTCAAGAATTAAAACAAAAAATAAATCCCGCAGCTGCCAGCGCGCCTAGCAAATATTATAACTATACAAAAAGTGGTTGTGTCATAATAAAAAGCGACAGTTCAGAAAACCTTGAAAAATTAAAAATACATGTAGTCCAATCAGTGGGGGCCATTATAGGCCTCTGCCATACAAAAGGTGGTGTAGTAGTAATTTTTTAATATGTTGTTAAGGTTTAGGTCTTGATAAAAAATCCAAGTTTTCGACCTTGGAGTGCGACCGCTTGAGCCGCCATCTTGAATTAAAGATACAAAAAACTGTATTTTTCAAAATATATCCGCAGCGCCTTGTCTAGCCTGAGTTATCGATAATTTACACCTATATCGTTTTATAACACCTAACTATAGCAGTATTTTTTAATCTTGCATACCATAATAGTTGATGTACCTCCGTATTATTTTATTTTAGCAGAACAATGGCTCGAGTATCTCTGTACTTTTCGGCGTATCCAGTGACCAGCAACTTTAGTCATTTTACACCTTTAGTTTTTATGATCTCCTGCATCATATATTCCTTACCGGTACTTGTCGTTTTTTGATGTTCCCTAACTTTTAGCGGAGTTTCTTCAGTGACTCAATGACAGCGGGGAGATACTTGTCTTCAGGTCGGAGAGTTGTTATTGTGTCAACTGCTTTAGCCTGAGCCACCAACAAGGGGTTTACGAACTTGGTTGCTCCAGCAAGCACCAATCTCTTTGCTTTACAGTAAGCAATTCTGGATCTATGTGGCACAGCAGGTGAGTCATAAGCTGCCTGATAATACAGGAACATTGTCTGTAAGTCAGTGAAGTCCCTCTTCTTCTTGTGGAGAGTGTCATCTACCACTATATGGACAACAAAGAAGAGCAGATGAATATTCTCATCACCCACAACCACACTCTCCTTGGGAATGCAGGAAGTGAAGAAAGGGGTCAAGATTACAGTATTCACCTCTCCAGCAATCCCCAAGTCCTGGAGAGTGCAAACTGATTTGGCTACAGATTTCTCCTGGATATGACAAGCAATTATTGGAAAGCAGGCACAAAGTCGTGGGAGGGTGATCAGGTTTGGATCCAGTGATGTATTGGGAGCATGTTGCTCAGTGTCTATAGACAGTTTTTCTATAAGGCAGTTAATCAGCTCCCCCATTTCTCCCACTGATTTCTCCTTTATCTTGTCAAAATTATTGCCTCTTACCATGAAGAGGCTTATCAACAGGTGGATATCTCTAGATAGCTTCTGTTGATTATTATAAGTGAGCTCTCTAGGAACACCACCTGATATGAATTCGATCTCAAAAGTTTCCCTGTTCCCACGATTGGCTCATCCCAGTAACCGTCCATTGCTCTACACTTGGCTCTAGCACCACAGCGGAGTCTAGCAGCCTTATTCAATTTCGCAAAAGTTCTTGGATCCGTTTGATTTAGTAATTTCCCTTCTAGTCAATTAGCTCACAGACAAATGGCAGTCAAAGTGTAACGGAGGCTGTCTCGAAAAAATCAAAATCTCACTTCTCTTGTGCCCGACAATGCGTTTTTTTTGGTTTGCCGTTTCCTTTTTGAGAACCTGATCAATTTTCAAATGGGTTTCGTCTATTCTGAAATTTACGATGTAGTTTTCTTTTGATTTTTTTTACCATCTCCAGATTTGTGAAAAAGAAAGTGTACCTTACAGGTCCATTTCTTTTCTTATAACATCCTAAATGTCGTTAGATTCATGCAATTAGACACCAAAAAGAAAACAATACATCATAATTATAGCACTAGAGCTAATACAAAAAAACACCTTATGCTCCCGGAAAACAGAACTGCGCGATGAGTCTAAACTCAGTAAATAATATGGGTCCAAAATTGTATAATTGTATTCCTCTGGAGATACGCAGAGTAAGTAACATACATAAATTTAATCTACAATGTAGAGAATATGTATGTATGAGTAGAAACACAATGTATGCCTGTCATATTTTTAGTTATATTTTTCGATTTATAAACCTTATGTTATTTACCTTTCCTTTATTTACGCTATTTTTTATCCTAGTTATTAAGTTAATTATAGCTGGATTCATTTTTATTGGTTATTAAGTTTAATTAAGCAAATCTTTACTTAGATGTAAGACAATTAAATATATCAATTTTATATTCTAAGAAAAAGCTAAACAACGAGACGCACACAGGTTTCACATAGAAACCTAGGTGTCTCAATATTTATTTAAAATTTAATATCTGTATAATAGTAGTAATAGTGAGTTAAAATATCAAAAATATTAAATAGTAATAAGTTATTTAAAACAAAAATTGTAATAGGTAAAATCAATACACCACTTCTTTTTTAAATGAATATTATATTATATAAACACATTATTTCCACTGACCTACAATTAAAAATATTGCAGTGATCGTCAAATTCCTATGGTGTAAATTTTCTAAGCAAATTACGTAAGGCTATTTTTGTAAATATTTATATTGATATCTATTATGAATTCACGTACTTGTATGAATTATATTATTGATTAGGTAACTAGGTTACTACTATTTATATTTTATTATAATTTGTAAAACTATGTACCACTGTAGAAATAAAGATTTTTGAATTTGAATTTGAATATTGTTTAGTGGCGTTTACTCATTTTTACAAAACAAAAAAAAAAATAAAATTATAATAATTATTAAAATTTGACATTTTAATTCCCAATTTTCCCAGCTAGTTTTTCGGTTCCTTCGGTCAATTCTTAATTCGACCTTTGGTCTAATCTAATTGAGTTTCAATCTAAAAGATAATATTCTAATTAATTTTTACAGAAATAAATATTTACGTAAATTTATTTCTCTTACATGTTTTACGACTTATTAATCTCTAATCAGTATAAAATTATTATATACTCTAAATAATATTTTTAAGTATACACTACAGTTTACGTTTATTAATTAATTTCCTTCTATATTATATATTATATCACACATCCCAAAGAAAACTGTGCTTAATTAACAATTAGCAATTTTATAGGAGGAGCATTTAAAGAATTGATTGGCTTAAAAAAGGATATGTTAAATTGTTGATTAAAAATATCTGCGTACATGTGATCTTTTCCAAAAGCTCATCCTACAGACTCGCATAAATCTTTATACTCTCTGTATATGTCAGCAATACACTTGCTTCCATCGATAAATTCTTTTGTGGTTTGTGCTCTCAAATAATGCGATTCAATTCTGGGTATAGAATTAATGTGGGTTCTTATATAATTTTTTATGTCTTCGTCCAGTTTTTTGTGATTTTTATGTTTTCCTCTCAAATCTCCAACAAGCGATCCTGATGCATTAGTTTTATTTCTTACAGTTAAAATGGTTCGGTCATTTATATCCAAGGTGTTTTTGAAAAACATTTTACACACTCGCATTTTTTACCTTATTCGGTTTGAAAGTGAAAGGAATAATTTGGTCTTCTTTTAACATCTTTTAATCTTGTATTAGGTGGCATTAATTCCATGTGATTCAGAAGGAAATCTCTTTTTCTATTAATATCTGGCAAATTATAATAGTCCGTAAATATTAGATTTTGCTGAATTTCGTTGATTTTACTAGAACATTTAAAAATGCAATTTGCCTTACAGGTACCCTTTAGTTTTTTTGCAGGTATTATCTTTTTAGACTTGGCAGAGTATATGTATTTCTTTCCTGCATTACGTAAGATCTTGGCTTTGGTTTTTATGTGTTCTGTCTCATGTCGTTGTCTTTTTCTTGTTAGTTTTTTTGGAGAGTTAGTTTCAGGTTCGGGTTCAGGTTCAGGTTCAATTATTTGTGTTCCTCCATTTTCGTTTTCTTCTTCATCCGACGAACTTGTTGATTAAGAACTTGATGAGCAGGTACTACAACTTGAACCCGAGGAAGACGAGGACTTTACAAAATTAGGATCTCTTACGTTATCGTCAATATCCTCTTCAAATTCAGACAATGAGTTGCCACTTTCATAGTTGTTGCAAGTATTATTATTATTGGTATTCGCAACACTTTCAAACTCGATGGCCAAACTATTTAATTGCATATCAGTAATGTTGTTGGTTTCAGATGAATTAATTATCATCTCAACAGTAAAGTAGTGACAATGTCGTTGCTAAATCCGTATCCGTATTCTGAGAAGTGTGATTTAAATTTCTGTCCAGATCTGATGGTAAGCAAACTCTGGTTCCTCAAATGGCTCAATAAAGAAAAAATCAGGACTGGATCTCTTTTCTGGGATTTTCGCATCATCTGCCATAAAATTTTCTTTATTTTCAAAATCAACGTAGTTATCATCAGATTTTTGAAAATTGGAAGCAGGCAGAGCTTCAGTATTTTTATTTATACCATTCTTTTTACGCAATGACGCCATAATGCGTTCCGTTCTAGTGTTATAACAAGGGATGCGTGTTGTCATCTGAAATCATACATTATCCCCTTTTAAACTATTAAAAAAGCTCACCAAATCTTGAAAAAAGATAACCATAAAACCAATACCTATCTGTATTAAGTTAAGAAAAATTTAACTTTTTTACTGTAAAAATGTATTAAGTTCTTATACCACCTTTTTCAAATTTAAAATTTCATATTATAAAAAAAAATATTTGATAGAAAAAGGTATCAATCTAGGATAATACTACCCACCCGCGAACATAATTATTGAAGAATAACGCATTATATATAATACACCTATCCTTAAAAAAAAATCATAAAAATTTTAATAATACCCTATCAAAACTTTATTAAACTAGAATAATACGGTCTTCTACGGATAAAATAGAATTTTTTTACCTTGACAATGGAAGGAAGAGCGTATCAAAGACATATAATACCCTTTTCTTCGGGAAATTACAAGGTATTTATATCGTACAGTACACAATCTTAATACTTAATACTACACTCTTCTACGGAAAATCAGAAAATCCCGCGTAGCACGCCGAAATAAAACTGTTTTCAACGGGCGACCAACACAATTTTGACAATTTGCCGTTTTACCTAGCGCTATCTAGCACATAAAACATAAAATAAGAGCTTTGTTGGCTTGTTGGGGTAAAGTAGAACCCTATAAAGTGTTGTTTTTGACAAAACATGAAAAATTATAATTTTACTACTTAATACGGTTTCCTTCGGGATGTGCGATATATAGAGTTGAATTCAGCACTCTATAATAATATATATTAGTATGCTGATTTTCCAAATTCTTAATAAAAAGTTTTAGACGACACTATTGATATTTTTGAAAATAACATTTACAATTTCATATAATATTTTTTTTTAAAATAGAATAATTGATGGTTTATAAAAATTGTATATTCAAAGTTATGTTCAGCAGCCATTAACTAATATAAAATAGCTTTCTTGGGAACTTTTTTATTACCAGTTACAAAAAAATTGCCGCATATTTTTTTCTGTAAGGAGTGTAAGGGGCGTAAGGGGCGAGGTGTAAGTTCGGGGTGTAAAGGGCGAGGTGGGTGTAAGGGGCGAGGTCGAGGAAAAGGTCAGCCTAAATGTCAAACTCACCTACTCGCGTGATAATCTCGGTTGAACGGCATAAGGATGCAGAAGGCAAATTGGAAAACCACTGCATTAAAGATCACATAGCGATATTCCCTGCATTATCATCATGGCTGAAGTCAGGACTAAATATAATTCCGGAGTAAGTCCTCCGATCGGATCTCCGGGAGGACAGTTGTGACTGATATGAGTAATGCAACCGATACGAAAAATACCGTACTACGAAAACCAATAAAGATAGGAACATGGAAGGTTCAAAGCATGTTCACTCGAGGGAAAACACAATGTAATTCTGTAAATGAATAGATTGAACATCAAAATAATGGGAATCAGTGAAGCTCGCTGGATAAACTGCGGGCAGAGTAGACTTCAAGACAAAATTATTTTTTACTCAGGAGGCAGTGACAGTCAACATCGTCATGGAGTTGCGGTCATTATTGATGAGAGTCTTCAGAGATCGGTGAGGAACTTCGTGCCTTTTTCTCCTCGCGTTTTGCTTTTACAACTTGAGTCATACTGTGGTACACTGAATCTGATCTGATTCAGGTCTACGCTCCAACAGCGGATAGTGACGACGAGGAGGTGGAATCTTTCTACAAAAAGATTGATGACGTCATGAAACTAACTAAAAACAAAGACGTCACTTTGCTCCTGGACGACATGAATGCAAAGATTGGACAAGGTTCATGTGGAAAATGCATTGGGCGGTATGGACTGAGCGAACGTAATGAGCGAGGAGACCGCCTTCTAAAATATTGCCAAGAAAACTCCATGATAATAACTAATACGTACTTCAAACTACCAAAACGTCGCCTATACACATGGAAATCGCCACGAGACAGTGAGAACCGCATAGTCCGAAACCAAATTGATTATATTATCCTCAATCAGAGATACAGGAATGCAGTGAAAAGTGTCAAATCATACCCAGCAGCAGATGTAGGCTCGGACCACAGCCTTCTGGTGACGGAGATTATGGTAAAGCTCAAGAAGCTGAAAGTTTTGTCGAACCAAATATCTATTGATACCAGCCTACTAAGAAGTAATAACGCGAAAGTGAAGGTGTACCAAGGTATAAATGAAAACCTAAGTAAATTGATAAATTGCTGTTCGGCAACACAGAGCCAACCTGACATGTGGCAAAGTTTAAAATCGGCTATTATAGAACCCTGCAAAAAATATCTGAAACCCGAGAAAAGAACAATGCGAAACGATTGGATGACTGATGAAATTTTGATGCTTATGGGAGAAAGAAGGAAGATAAAAACAGAGAGAAATATAAAAAAATACAGAAAGTCATCAAATATAAATGTCGTCAAGCTAGGGAGGAGTGGATAAAAGAGGAATGTACTGAAATAGAAAATCTGCAAAGACTTCGCAACTCACACAGTATGCATAACAAAATAAAAGAGTTTACTGGAACTGTTCGGAAGGAAAAATCGTACCTTCTTACAAATGAAGATGGAGACATTGTGTTGGATATTAAAGATCAATTGACTCTATGAGAACAATACATCGAAACCCCTTTCAACGACCAAAGAGAAGAAATCACTACCAACACTAACAATGAAATGGGGGCATCTATTTTAAAGGAAGAAGTGCAAGCGGCAATAAAAGGAGCCAAAGATGGGAAAGCGCCTGGCCCTGATGATCTACCTGCAGATGCGCTCAAGTTGATAGAAGAACAAAACTAAGGTTGCGATATGCGGTGCTATAACTTCTCTATTTAATAAGCTTTACGAAACAGGGATGATACCAAAGGAATGGCTCCAGTCGACGTTTGTCACAATTCCAAAGAAGCATAATGCCAAAAAATGTGAAGAACACCGCACGATCAGCCTTATGAGTCACACACTTAAGATCTTTCTCAAAGTCATCCACCGCAGGATTTACAGAAAATTAGAAGATGATATAGCAGATACTCAGTTTGGCTTTAGAAATGGTTTCGGTACTAGGGAGGCTTTGTTTGCCCACAATGTCTTAATGCAGCGATGCCTTGATGTCAATCAAAATGTATATGTCTGCTTTATTGACTATAACAAAGCATTTGATAAAGTAAGACACAAGCAACTAATAGAAGCGTTAGAACGCAAAAATCTCGATACAAGAGATATACAAATAATGGTAAAACTGTACCTCAATCAAAGTGCGTCTGGTCGCGTCCAATCTGAACTGACGAGAGCAGTGGATATCAAACGAAGAGTTAGACAGGGATGTGTTCTTTCACCACTCCTTTTCAACGTCTACTCAGAGGAAATCTTTAACAAAACCCTCGAAAATGATGCTGGTGGAATACGAGTTAACGACATACCACTGAACAATTTGCGCCGCTACGCGGACGATACAGTCCTCGCTGAAAACATGCCTTCAGAATATGTTAAATAACGTCATCACAACTAGTCGAGAATATGGTCTGACACTCAATGTTAAGAAGACCAAATACATGATTGTCACTAAAACTGGAGTGCCCAATGAACGTCTGTACGCGGAAGGCGAGGAGCTCGAAAGAGTAGAGAGGTATATGACTATTGGGTACAAGTGTCGACTGCACCGCGGATTATTGTTTAGAAATAAAGATTCGCATTGAAAAGGCCCGTGCATCCTTTGTGACTTAATCTTCACACAAGCTGCTCTGTAGCCGCGATTTGAGCCTAGATCTGAGAACTCGTATGCTCAAATGTTATGTATTCCCAGTCCTTTTGTATGGTATGGAAGCTTGGACCCTCAACGAGCTTTGCGAGCGAAAACTGGAGGCCTTCGAGATGTGGGCATACCGTAGAATGTTGAAAATACCATGAACAGAACATGTAACCAACGTGGAGGTTCTGAGAAGAATCAGGAAGAGCGTAGAGATCCTCAAGGAAGTGAAAAAAGAAAATTGCAATATCTCGGCCATATCATGAGAGGTCCAAGGTATGAGATTTTGCAACTCATAATCCAGGGAAAAATTGTAGGAAAAAGATCTGTTGGAAGGAGAAGTACATCCTGGCTCAGAAACCTGCGAAAATGGTTTAATGTCACGTTATCTGACCTATTTAGGGCCGCAGCTTCCAAGGTCAAAATAGCAATGATGATAGCCAACCTCCGATATGGAGACGGTATATGAAGAAGAAGATATTTCTTTCTATGCATGTCTAACACAGTTCTGGGACGGTTCAGAATCAGTAATAAGAAAAACTCAAAATAGCTTAATATTAATTAAAAAAAAGCTAAAAAATGAGAATAAAAAATAATTTGTTTTAGTACATACTTTGACAGCAAATAAATAACATCAATAACAACATGGTAACTATAGGATATGTTTTTTTTTCGACTATTACGATGTACTTCTTAAAAAATATATAGAATTTCTAATGACATTTATTGTCACTTTTCTATGGGGTGTTTGAAAAGTTGTTATCATTAACAAATTTTTCTTTAAACATTCTTAGCTTTTCAAAAACTCTCTTCAAACATATCTCGACATGTTATAAACAAATTATTAGACACCATTATGTACGAACAATGCCGAAATACATCCATTTTCTATTCCAAATTCCGATTTATTTTTTTTAAGTTTTTTAATGCCATTTTTTGCATTCAACTACGAGCCCTGTCTCAGTGAAGTTGGCCCAACTACCAAAATCATGTTTTTTTAAAGAAAATTGCCAAATTAATGAAAAATATCACATATTATAATATATTTCTTATAACATACGAAATTTTTATTCAATTGTAACCTAAAATACTTTGTTTCAGAGAAAAAAATATGTCACAAATTAAAAAGAGTGTCAATTAAAACAAATCAACGAAACCAAATAGCATCAAATTACCACTGCGTTACAATTACCTTTTCGAGTGATTACTGCTTCGATACGTCTTAGCATAGTGTCAACTAATGTTTAATTACAGTACATTAAATTACAGTCAACTGACTTAAATCTATTCTAAACTTCTTGAAGACGCATTCGCATTAATTTTGAAACGTTTCTTGCCGGATTTTATCGAAGCTTATTCTTCACGATATGCCACAAGATTTCAATCAGCGACAGATCTAGGCTACTGAACGTCCATTTTAGGGGTAAAATATTGTTTTCTAATATCCAATTTTATACCTTTTTAGGCATATTTCAAGCAGCACCATCTTGTTGTAAGATGCATTCGATATTATTTAAACGCATGTGTTCAATTTGGGGATTTAAGGTATCTTGAAACACATGAATACACTTATCATTCTTGGAACCATCTACAAAGTGTAATTTTCCGACTCCACTAGCTGAGATGAATCCCCAAATCGAAATAGAATCCGGAAACTTAACTTTCATGCCATTTTAAGTCATTATGAAACACTTTTTTAGATCTTACGACACGACTCCTATTATCACCAACGCATATTTCACATCTGGCTTCATCATTCCAAATAATAAAATTCCATTGGTTCGGAGACCATAATTTCTCATCTTTGGCCCTTGGCTCATGCTAACCTATTTTTCTTCTGAATGTTTGTTAGTAAGACAGGCCTTTCGCCTATGAGACATATGAAATTAAAGACGAACAAAAAATAATAATAATTTAAGTTCACCTTGTAAGTTTTAAATCACATTTTTTTAGCTCTCTGGCTTTATAATTAGCATCCCGATTTTGCTTGATAATCATTTTTAAAGCACTTAGGTTGGTATTGGAAAAGTGCAGATGAGTTACAGTTCTCGGTTTTTGAGTCACAGATTCAGTTTTTTTGCACAGTTTAATAATATTTCGAACTGTACATCTCGATATATTGACATTATCAGCGATTTGAGAAGCATTTTGATCTTTTAAATGCAAGTGACTGATAACTTTTATTATTTTGTCAGATACAACTTTACCATGAGCCATTATTAGTTGTTAAAGACAACACTAAATTACCAACATTAGTAAAACGTCAAAATCATCTTTGTACCAACGTCAGTTTTGTTTTACAAAGCTGGTTTTTATTTTATTGAATCGAATAAATCGACCTTAACATCTTAAGTTCTCTATTACGTATTTTGCCAAATACAAATAATCTTACCAAGAGGATTATTTCATAATAAGACTTTTTAAAAACCACAACTTTGTAAAATACTTATTTATATTTATATAATTTATATATTTATTAATTTAGAGGTATATTTATTAATACAACGAAGGCCAACTGAGAAGTGTTTTATTCTGAATTTTGACGTTATTCATAAACTAACAAACCACGTTCCTTAATATACCTATAAACAAGGTATTTTACACTTAGAAACTAACAATTTCATTTCATCATTTATTCTACTATAATAATATTCCAGTATATTGCAAACTTCAGTTTTCTTTCCATATAATCATTTAAAGAAACCAAAAATATTATATTACAAATAAAATTTTGATATTGTGCATTTAAATTTCGCGTAAGAAATAATGGCCTGATAATATTGTGTCCGAATATCCCTGCCCAAACATTTACTTTCTGTGGATATTGCGTCCTTGTTTTCGACAAACCTGTGTTGGTTTTCTTTGTTTCAATATCGATAATTTTGAACATGGGGTTCATTATTTAAGGTAAACGTGCATTCGTCAGTGAAACATATGTGTTTTAAAAATTCTCTATCCGTGTTTGCTCTTTCCATCATATCAAAACAAAACGCCTGCCGCCGTATTTCGTCCCCATGTCGTAGCTCTTAGTGCTTTTCATATTGGAAGGAATAGTATTTATTCGTTTCGAAATTCGAAACGCTGTAGTGTGATCTATTCCTATTTCATCCTCAAGTTTCCTTGTGCTGATCTTTCCATCGTCGTTCTCTTCCACGCACAATAAAACTTCCAAGTCGGTATCATTTCTTACATCTTCTCTTTGTTCCTGCTTTGCTTCACATCTGCAATTATTTATTAGGGTACCTTTGGTCTCAAATCTCTGGATATTCCTTGCGATTGTAGATTTTCCAGGTATCGGTCTATTCGGCTACAGAGCAGCAAACATGTCCGACACCTTTTGATAACTATTTCCTTGATAATACCATTTAATCATCAATACTTTTGCTTCGGTAGTATTCATGGCTAATATTTTCGATGTAGGTATGAGTTTTTAATAATAATAATAAAGCACTAAATAGACAAATTTCGGAAATGACAACTTCATTTGACAGTTATCTTTTAGTTATCTTGACTGGTGCTCATAAGTAAATACAGGGCCATAAGAAAGGAGAAATATTTAAAAAGAAATCGGCGATAACTCGTAAACGGGCTAATCAAAAATATCTAAAGTTATTTTTTTGAATTTGGGTTTTAGTGCTCTTCAATAAACCTAAATAGAATTATTCTCTAAAATAATTATTAGGGAAGCCAATAATTGACCACATTAAAATTTACATGGGATTTCCTATGTCCCGCTCGACGATGCAATACCCGGTATAGTCTCTTTGGCGATTAATATCGTTCAGGTCCCAAGAAGCCTTAAACATTGAATTTCTTAGTTCCTCGGATATTTTTGTCACAAATTTTAGTCTGCAGTTTGTGCAAGGAGCTTTAATTTTTCTTTCAGGCCTTTCCTTTCCAATCTATGTAAGCCTGTCCGCTATTTTTCAACCTCTTGATTTTGTTTCTTTGCCAGTTTTGCTGATTTTTAACTCTTTTACGCATTTTTCTTTGTTTTTTTTTGCTCTACGGACGAAGATGAACTGTCATATAAAGGCTCTTGTACATCTAGTCTGCGTGTCTTTCTTGGGGCTCTTTCAAGCTCAAAGTCAGGATCTAAATCTTCGTCATCTCCTCCAAACGGATCTGATTCCGACGAAGACACATGTGAATCCTTTAAAAATGTATTAAACGTTTTTAACGATCGATCTAACTTAGTGTTGCAATTGAATTAAGTGGACTGTATTATTTTCATAGGTGCGGTTCGTGAACAAATGCGTTTTGCGATATAATATTTTGCGATGAAAAATTACATTAAATAAATAGAAAAGAAAAAAAAGGTCGATTGTTCGCCTACCTTGTTTTGTTGCGAAATCTGCAGCGTCTCTGGTCAACAGCGAATTTAAGGATCAGCGGATCACTTGTGTGCACACTCGCCCGGTTCGAACACTTCTCTTCGACTCTCTCGTCGCACTACTACTTCCGCGTGAAGCGGGCGAACAAAAAATTACGCGACAAAAAATATATTAAATATAAAAATAAAAATAACTTATTTTAATCCTAAACATCCAGCCCCCCTGTTTTGTTAAATACGAATTTAGCAAAATAAAAAAAATATAATTTTCATTGAAAGAAAAAAAGAAAGAAAAAATAATGAAGAGAAGAAAAAAAAACAAAATTATGAAGTTGGTAACCGACACAACTTTACTAAAGGTCGCATATAAGTGCCAGTATCTGTACGCACTTCAGCGACTCTTACAATGTTATCAGTACCTGGAAATAGTTTTGTAACACGAGCAATTTTCCAGGTCATTGGTGGAATATTTTCTGATTTAATTAATACTAAATCGCCTTCATTTAAAGGCTGGCCTGGTGTAAGCCATTTAGCTCTCTGTTGGAGGGTGTTTAAATATTCAGAATGCCATCTTGTCCAGAAGTCTTGATGCAAGCGCAGTAACAGTTGATATCTATCTAAATTATTAATCTTTAAATTTGACATATCTGGATCTGGCAAACACGTAAGGGGTTCAAGAGTTAAAAAATGTCCCGGGGTAAGTACTAGAAAATCATTTGGATCGGAACTTTGGGGACTTAACGGACGAGAATTTAGTAAAGCTTCGATTTGTACAAGAATTGTATTAAATTCTTCATATATAAGACGCTGGTCTCCAATTACACGAGCCAAATGTGACTTTACGGATTTAATTCCAGCCTCGTACAGGCCCCCGAAATGTGAAGCTGACGGAGGATTGAAACGCCATTCAATTTTTTCTTCAGCTGCGGCAGTTTTAAATATATTAAGAAGGTACTTATTTGCACCGGAAAAATTAGTGGCATTATCAGAGACAATTTTTGAACATCTACCTCGTTGGGCAATAAAACGGCGTAAGGCACATAAAAAACAATTGGCGCTTAAATCAGAAGCTAGTTCTATATGAATAGCCTTCGTGGCGAAACAAACAAAAATACAAATGTAAGCCTTGATCACTTTTACACCGCGAATACGTGTAGCTGTTATAAAAAATGGACCTCCAAAATCGATCCCGACCACAGAAAATGGTTTAATCTTTGATATTCGACTGGCAGGCAAATTGCCCATTAAGGGTTGCAATGTAGGCGGGTTAACTCGAAAGCATGTAAGACATTTAGAAAGAACGCGTTTGACAGCTCGCCGTGTGGATAGAATCCAATAGTGTTGCGAAAGTAAAAACTGAGTAGTTTGCACTCCTGGATGTAGATTACATTTATGTGTATATTCAAGCAAGAGATATGTTAAGCGGCAATTACTTGGAAGAATTAAAGGATATTTCTTTTCATAATTTAACAACGAATTTTTTAATTTACCTCCAACTCGAAAGAATCCCAAATCATCAACAAATGCGGCTAATTTGCAAAAGGGTTTAGACATTAACTTTTTACTGAGAAAATTTTCTAAATCCGACCTAAAATATTTATATTGCACATGTTTAACAAGCAGTAGTAAAGCGTTGTTTAAATCACGAGCAGAAAAATAAGAAGTATTTCTTGAATTTGGGTTCCTCAAATTAAAAATAAATCGATTAACATATCCTAAAATTCTTTGTATTTTAGAAAGTGATGAATATTTTTCTAAAAGTTGTTCAAAAATGTCAAATTGATTAACCGTTATTAAAGCAATTTTTCTTTCTTCCTTATCCGATTCATTTATGGGAAAATCAGGAGAAAATTTACAAAAATTATCATAGAATGTGGTTGTCGGTAGTTTGATAAAATCTGGTCCTGTCCACCAAGAAGAGCATTTTACAAAATCTAAAGGAAGAAGGCCTCTGGACGCAGGATCAGCGGCGTTATTTTCCGTAGCGACGTGCAACCAAATAGAATTAGGTAATTCTTGAATAATAGCGATGCGATTGGCGATAAAAGGTTTAAAGCGATGAGGAGATGCGTGAAGCCAATGTAATACATTTAGCGAATCAGTAAAAGTAAAAATATTTTTAAAAGTAAGCGTAGTAGCGAGTGACTTTATTACAAAATGTATTAATCGTGTGAGCAATAAAGCTCCACAAAGTTCTAAGCGAGGAATTGATTGCGTTTTGAGCGGCGCTACCTTTGATTTAGCAGCGAGCAGAATTGTACTTATTCTATTTTGCGATACAATTCGGACATAGACACACGCTGCATACGCATGTTGGGACCCATCACAAAATCCACATAAATCAACATATTCGTACGTTTCCGAAAAAATACAGCGAGGTATGCGTAGGGCGGATAATTCTGACAACTGAGAATTATAATCGTTCCATCTTTTTAAAATATGCGCTGGTGGAACGTCATCCCAATCTAAGTTTAAAGACCATAACTTTTGTATTAATAATCTTGAAAAAAGCGTTACCGGAGTTAGAAAACCCAGCGGATCATATACACGAGCGATGTCTGATAAAATATTTCTTTTTGTACAGGGTTTCTCTGACGGAGTGACAACATAAGAAAAATTATCTTCATTTGGATTCCACTGTAATCCTAAAATTTTTAATGTAGGAATCGGTTCCGAATCAAAAGATACACATTTAGTATGTAAAAGATCTGAATCGATATGTTTTAAAAATTCATGGTTATTACTAGCCCATTTTTTCAATTCGAAACCTTCCTTTTTTAATAAATTGGTAAGATCGCGTTGCAGTATGACAGCATCGTCAATTGAATTACAACCGGTACAAATATCATCAACAAAAATGTTATTTGACAAAAGAATATTCGCGGCAGATTTATAATTATGTTTTTCGTCATTAGCCAACTGAATGATTGTTCGAAGAGCAAGATATGGTGATGAACTGACACCAAAAGTAACCGTTTTTGAATTATATTCTCTAATTGGTTCCTCATCAGGAAATCGCCACAATATTTTTTGAAATTTATAATATTTTGGATCAATTCGAATTTGGCGATATATAGCCTTAATGTCAGCTGTGATAGCGATAGAAAAAATTCGAAAATTTAATAATACCGAAGCTATATCTTTTTGCAATTTTGGACCAGTCATTAGACAATTATTAAGCGATAAATTATTTGAATCTTTACAAGATGCGTCAAATACTATTCTAACAGGACTAGTAATTGAATTAGGATTAAATACACAGTGATGCGGTATAAAATATTCATTTTGATCACAAGAAGTTGCTAACGCTAAGTGATCGCTGTCTATGTAATCTTGAATTATTTTTCGATAATCATTATATAAGGTTGGGTTAGATTTTAAACGTTTTTCTAATGAAAGAAATCTGCGTAGAGCTGATAATTTTGTATTTTCAAATATCGGTTCGATTTCTGTTTTAAAAGGAAGAGATACTACATGCTGACCTGAGTCTAATCTATAAGTAGTTTTTTCATAAAATGATTCGCATTTTAAATCTTCTTTAGAAGAAAATGATTTATTATTAATTTCCTCAACCTTCCAAAAATTTTGAATAATATTTTTTATTGAATTAGCATTACTTTGAGCGAAAAATGACAGCGTTGGTAAACATTTTTGTGACATTGAAGAAATATCTCCTATTATTATGTAACCAAATATTGATTGTGTTAGGTAAATTAGAATGCGGAGCGGGGAAAGTTTTCCATCTAATAATATTTTATTAAATATTGAGGCGTTTACATTAAATGACGGATCTGCTATAGTAATATTTTTAATATGAGTCCAGTCAGAAAGATCAAAGTTACAAGTCGGTAAATTTGAAGCGCATACTTGATCTAACACCAACACGTGAACGTGTAGTAGCGACGAAGAAGTATGAAGTGGCGCTATTAAACACTGAATTTCGCCGTTAGATGTCCGACTGTGCATATTACTGAGTCCAAATATGTCAACAATACGCGTGCGTGTTTTTTAACCTAATTTCTTCACCCATTGTTTAGAAATATAACAAGTTTCACTTCCTGAATCCAAGATAGCCCTAATAATATGAAAATACCCAAGCGCATCTTTTAATCTAATTTTAACAGTCGGTAAAATATCGAAACTATGCGATGTATCGCTCCGAACACCGAAATGGCTATAAACTGGCTGCGATTCTTCTGACCGTGCGGCGGATTGTCGATTCGACGGGACTATTGATACCGGGGTGATTGGATTTGTAGTGAGCGGGGTATTTGCGTTATTTACATTTTGCGAGCAATTCTCCTGGGAGACGGAATTATTTTGCGATAAATTATTATTAGAAAAATGAAATAATGTATGATGTCTTTGACGACAAGTGCGACAAGTAGATTCAGAATTACAATTCTGTGTTGTATGTATGCTACTTAAGCAATTTATACACAATTTGCGTTTTTTCGCTAAACTATATCGTTCGCGAGGCGTTTTACTTAAAAGAAGCGAACAACTATAAATTAAATGATCAGTGTTACAAATAGAACACAATCGATTATTTGTGCGATTATTATGCGTAGATGATGTTGATAAAAAAGTGTTACTTTTCCGCTACGAAGAATTATCACGTTTAGTATTTGAATTATATTGATTATTGCGCGAATTTTTAGGTTTATAGTTAGATTTTGACTGTTCTGATAAAGAAGATTGTAAATTTAAATTATCATTAAAAGATATATTTTCAAAAGCGTTACAACATTTTTCGATATAATTTATGAGTATATAATAATCAGGCATATTAGAATTTGAACCATGTTGAGTTTCAAAAGTGGCTACAAGTTGAGACGGTAAGCGTTTTAAAATCATATAAGTTAAAATAAAATTCCAAGCATCTATAGGGTAATCTAAATTTTGTAAAGCAGCGACATTTTCTGAAAATGTATCTAAAAGAACTCTAAGTTCTGGTGAGTTTTGGGACAATACTCTCGGTGCGTTGTCAAGTTCACTCCAATGATGGGTTGCTAAAAGTCGTTTGCTAGAATATCTTGATTTTAACGCATTGTATGCTGTCTCAAAATTTGAAGCTATTAAAGGAAATCTTAAAATATGTTTCTTTCTTCTAGACAATTTACTAAATGAGAAAATTTTTCAATTTTTGTTAAATACTTATTATTATATACCATAGCGTCAAAAACTTCAATAAAAGATGTAAAAGATGTTAAATCACCGGAAAATTTTGATAATTTCATTTCAGGTAACTTTGGTCGCCCTAAATTTCTAGCTTATTGATCAGAATCAGTTTGTGTATCATTATTCATATTTTTTGCTGTGATGCTATGATAGATTGCTTTAGTAGAGAGAAAATTCATTTCAAAATCTTTTCTAATCTGATCTTCCGTTAAAAATTCAGTTTCATCTGAATTTGACAACGATAAAATGGTATTATGATGTTTACTAAAGGTTTCGAATATTGTGTCTATATATTTATACCTCTGTATAAAAACAGGGCGTAAAGAATCATCTTGTTTAGCGGATTTAGCGATATCAAGCGTCTCTTTAATTCTGTTTATTTCAACCAACCGTAAAGTTTTAGCTTTTTTATATTTATCAGCGTCGGACACTGAAGGCGGCATTTTGAAATAAATAAACACCAGAGAGTAGTAATATAATAATAAATGAAAACCAGAGACAACTATTCAGAGGCAAAAAATAGTAAATATAAAAAACAAGAATAAAAAACAATTCAACGTATTCCACCAATGCACAAGATATTGATCTTGAATTTAATTTTTTGGCGTATTAAAAAATATTTTATACTCCTATAAAATATTTATATTAATAATTAGTTAATTTTTAAAGGTGAAAATGAATAAAAAAATGAAAAAAAAAAGAATTATCTGGAGCGGAGGACCAACAATGTTGCGATTAAATTAAGTGGACTGTATTATGCTCATAGGTGCGGTTCGTGAAAAAAATGCGTTTTGCGATATAATATTTTGCGATGAAAAATGACATTAAATAAATAGAAAAGAAAAAAAAGGTCGATTGTTCGCCTACCTTGTTTTGTTGCGAAATCTGCAGCGTCTCTGGTCAACAGCGAATTTAAGGATCAGCGGATCACTTGTGTGCACACTCGCCCGGTTCGAACAATTCTCTTCGACTCTCTCGTCGCACTACTGCTTCCGCGTGAAGTGGGCGAACAAAAAATTACGCGACAAAAAATATATTAAATATAAAAATAACTTATTTTAATCCTAAACACTTAGGTTGTCCAATGTTTAATGTGTTGGATGTACCAGCCAAAGATGTTTGTAAAATACTAGATATAGCCGGCAACTTTGTAGTTGACAACTCATCCACTTTTGATAAAGTTGATGCACCATCCACGATTTGTTTACTCCGTGTTTCTGATGCCACTTCTAGGATCGGGGACTGCATGAGACTTTCGTTGGCCACAGGTTCTCCAACTGAAACCAGAAACATTGTTCGATATAACTACATAATGTATACATGCAAAATTATAAAAAAAAATAATAAAGAAAAACCTTGTCATAATATTTTCATACCATTATTAAATATGGCATTTGGCTGACGAAGCTGAATATCCTCAATGGAAATTGTTCCGAAGGATCTACTCTTAATAGCAGATGTTGTTTCTACTGGTAGTAAATATGCGGGAGGTTCCAAATTAGCACAATCTATCCAATAAACGGCATTTTTCCTGATAGGCTGACGATAAATTAATATTTTTAATAATAATTAAAAAACTTGACACCTTAATTAACAAAATATTGTAAAAAATTGGAATTAAAAATAATTCTTACCATTTGACTCGTCCATATTAATCATATCGACAATTTTTTTCCCTCTTCAAGGAATAATTTTTCAGGAAAACCGAGGACACAAGAAGTATTTTTATAAAAAAGTGCAAATCCGAACAATTCTATGTCCGCAATAAATGATCTTATGTCCTCAAAATAGTAAATCAGAACTATTCTATGTCCATTAAAAATCATAGCGAATGCCATTTAACAAGACAGAACTAGTCTATGTCCACAATTTTATTCGCGCCGACGAACGAAATGTTCTCTGCGGCAGTTTAGCTAGTTCTGCGCTAAGATGAAGTCGATGCATCGATATTGACTTATTTTTTAATCGGCAGTTTTCGGCACTTTCCGGCCGTTTGGACATGGAATACTTCTGCAGTAGATAGAGCAACCCTTGAAGTATACTTAGAATATAAAAACCGGAAATTAAAAATTTTGGACATAGAATATTTCTGCTCTAAGGGGACAACATGTATTACCTTTAGTTTTTATTTTTATGATTTTAGTCATAGATTTTCGTGTTAATTTGTTTCAGAAATAATGAGGTGACCATTTTATTTTTATCATAACTCCGCCAGTTTTTGAGCTACGAACTTTTTGAAAAAAAAAAACATTTAAATGGTCTTTCCAAGCACTTTAAGAACGGCTATATTCATTTTCTTCGAAAAATGTGTTCTTTCGCCATTATTTTGCGGTAAAAATTGCAATGTAGTTTTCGAAAAGTAGTATTGAAAGGAAATATTTTCGCAATTGCCAATTATGCTTATAACTTTGATTTTTAAAACTTTACTTTTGTTGCGTAAATGCCAATGAACTTTAATTATTTTATACTTCCTTTCAATCGAATTATTAATTTACGAAATATATTAATATTAAATATGTTATTTTATATATCGAATAATTCCATCCTTGACAATATTAATTTTGTGAAAAAATATTATAGAACATTTTTTGCTTGGGGGTGAAAAATGGGTGATTTATTTTTCACCTTCGATAAGGGGTGGCACCCCCAGGGTGAAAGCACACATCGCTACTATGTAACTTTTGTTTCTTACATACCGGGTGGTGCATCGTCGTTGGAAACAGGAATACCCATGCAAATTTTGAACTGTTCAAATATTGGCTCCCCTGTTCATTTTACAGGGAAGTCGTAAATATATTTTTTAAAGGTTTATGTATGTGTGGTAAATACACATGCCAAATTTGAACAATTTTAGACCAGCCGATTTTGAGTAATTTAAAAAAGATTGCAACTATTTTTAAATAACCGTAACAGGTAACAATCAAACACCAGTCAATGGTCAGGTAGGTTTACAAACTATGATTTTGTCATTGTCAAAAGTACCTAATTTAATTTTAATATTCAGGGGAAATGAACCGAAATATGTCAGATACACTGTCTAAGCTATTTACTCCATAGTACCGCAGTTTATCATGCTCACTTTTTCTTTGTGTGTATAACAATAAATTATTACTAGTAGTGAATAATATTAAAATTTTATTAAAATTAAGTTACGTTTGAAAATGACGCTGGCAATTTAAGTTATGTCAGTTTTTGACTGGTGTTTGATTGTTACGTATTCAATTTTTATCAAAAAATCGATTCAATTTTTCTCAAGTTACTCAAAATTGGCTTGTCCAGAATTATTCAAATTTAGCATGTGTATTTACCAAACCTAGAGCTTTAAAAAGTCTATTTACGACTTCGCTATAAAATCAGTAGGGGAGCCAATATCTGGACAGTTCAAAATTTGCATGTGATTTCCTATGTTTCCAACGATGATGCACCCGGTATATCTCTATTCACTGTTAAAATTTAACGTCAATCGGTGCAGGTCTTCAGAATTCGGATACAATAACCCTCGCTTACTGGCCTACAAATAAAATCTGTAGGATCAATCAGGGTAAATGAAAACGATTTAGGCAAACTTTATTTTAAAATAATTATCTAGATAAGATAGATATAGGCGAGTCTGTCACAGATGGTGCGACTCGCTGTTAGTTAAACAGGTCTAGCTGCTGACAAAGCACATTGTTCTGGTTACGTCGATGGGCGGCCCTTATTGTAAATTCTCTTCATATTAGTGTCGAAGCGCCACAAGATGGATAGCGGCCGGTGGTTCGCCTTATGACTGAAATATAAAGGCCGTTAAAGAGATTTATCGAATATTATCGTCCTTTGAAGGGAGGAAATATATCTATGCTCGAGATGCCGTAAATATGACGACCGTTATGAATATGTCTTTGTGAACGTCCTTCATATATTCTCACTTCAAATTCTGGCTAAGCTTGTCAATTTTGAAACATATTACGTCTTTGAAGATATTGATGGATGGTTATAGATATCTGTACTCTTCATGTAATTTAATTACATTTATTTGTGTAAAAGCATATCTATTAAAATGTCTCCAGTATCAATTAATTATTTTAAACAGCTTTAATTTTTTGTTTATTAAAAATTTATAGTATTAAGCACAGATTGAATATAAGTAAAGTTAAGTATTTCATAGTAATTATTTCTTTTAATTATTGATAGTGCAGTGCCCAGAGGCTTTTATCTCGGAATTCAATTACTGTGAATGTATTAATGTGAAAGGAGATATTAGCTTTTGAAGAAGATACTAACATTTTTTAGTAATTTTTACATTAAGACCATGCCTTTGTTTTTGGTCCTAGTCAGCAGATATCTAGTAAGTTCTGGTCCCGAAGTACGCCTTCTTAATACAAGATTTGCTTTATTTAGTCTTCTTCTTTAGTCCGTTAGTTAATATATACGTGGTGCATTCGGTGCATTCATTATAAATTTGAAAAGCTGGCAAACGGCGATTTCTTAGCGATAAACTTACAATAAGTCGATCGTCTTGATTAGAAGTTCTCATACGAAAGTTCCTGGACGTCTAGATTGACGTCCTCATGTGGACGTGGTTATAATTCAAAAACCACTCAGTATACTCTATGGTATTAAGGTATTTTTTGAACCTAAATTTTATAGCAAATTCACTCAACTAAACAAATATGAAGCATTTTATTTGAAAAACTAAAACTTAAGTGTAAAAATATATTTGACTGACCATGTATATCTATAAAAAATATTTTTAAAATGCGAATTACCATTGAACACATATTTTGTAAAAGATTTGGAGTGAAAATCTCAAATAGGAATCCTGATACAGAGCTTGTTCGGAATACGGAGCCATCTTGTATGTATGCATTTGTATATGTGAGTTTATTTAAATACTAAAATGTGTGAAAGCAGCGAATTTAAATGGGTAAACTTTGTAATATATGTTCTTAACAATATAATGTAAAAAGTTTTTTATAGTTAATATAGTCCGAAAAAAATTAAATTTAGTTGTCCCGTCCTCGTCTTGGCCTTTTTGCTATTGGTGGCTCGTCGGCTTCATCTAATAGCTCTCTATCTGAGCACCTCCTCCTTTTGCACACCGGAGGAAGAGATTGAGATGGTACAACAATATAGTCCGAAAAAATTTAAATGGTTTAATATAATTAATACAGTCCGAAAAAAAATAAATTTAGTTGTCCCGTCCTCGTCTTGGCCTTTTTGCTATTGGTGGCTCGTCGGCTTTATCTAATAGCTCTCTATCTGCGCAACTCCTCCTTTTCCGCACCGGAGGAAGAGATTGAGATGGTACAACAATATAGTCCGAAAAAAATTAAATGGTTTAATATAGTCCGAAAAAAAATTACTTGTCCCGTCCTCGTCTTGGCTTGCTATTGGTCGCTCGTCGGCTTCATCTAATGGCTGTCTATCTTACACACTTCCTCCGTTTCCGAAAGAAGTTGAA